GCCTTTTAGTACGGTGCGCCTTATGGTCGTGAAAATACGGTAATGATAATATTTTAGTTTCAGCTTGGTTTACAGTAGGAACTTGAATGTAGGTCTAACTTTTTAAGATAATATTCTTAAATGTATCCATATCCTTTTAGGTATTTGATTTTTTTCTACAACAGTTCTGTGAATAATGCAATAATTATTTATTACTTTACTAATCTGAATTAAAAATTCACCAATAGAGTTTCAATAAAAACACTCCCATATCTGTCGAGCTACTTCCCTAAATTAAAAAACAACACTTTGCAAATAACGAGCACAGACACTGAGAAACAAAGCCGTGCATCGTTGAGCGGCGTCAGTAAATAAGCAGCTGGCGCTGAAACAATTTTCCCAATCCCAGCGTTTTGGATCCAGACACCATGTTGTTCAGTTCAGTGAACTGAAACATCTTTGCCTCTTCACTCAGAGCCAGAACATCTTTTTGACTGTTTTCAGAGTGAGATGACCCACTTTTTGGGGAAAAACAATAAAGTCAAAAGCGGTTTAATCCAAGTTGCTGTGCATATCTGATGGAGCCCCTTCTGAAACACAGATGATGGCTGGAACATCATTTCAGTGACTAAATTAGGAGAGAAAGGGAAAATGAAAAAAAGCATGAAATTGATCCAGCTGCAGAGGGAAAAAGATTCCCTCCCATCACTGCCATCATCATAATTAGTTTGATCAAGGACACTATAAGAAATTCCTTATTACTAGCTTAGCAATTTACTGAATAGACCTCTGTTTTTTGCTATCTTGTTATTGCTTATTTTCTTATTCCTGGACTGTATTCAGCCATCTGCATGCTGCAGTTGACAGAGCCATTGCATCCTGAGTTTTAAAAGTAAAAGTTATGAATGTTAGTGTAGTTCTGTTGAAACAGGTGGCCACTATGATTAGCGATAAATGGAAATTATGCCTTAGGATCCTGAGGGAGCGCTTTGGCACCCGTCCCCCTTTCCTCCCCTGTAACTGTTACCCTGGAGCTGCTGTTTGATGGATAATGCTGACATCCGTATGCCTTCTAATCATCGTTTCATCACATCTATGTTTAGTGCAGACGGATATTGAAACTTGCGTTTAGTTAAACGGGATGAAGCGATAAAGTTGATGTTATCCCTCAAACGATAAACATCTCAGATTACAGAGAGAATGCGGGATAAAGCGAGAAAGGTCTGAATCTATAAACAGGTGTTGTGGGTTTTTTTTTCCCTTCATTTTTCCTGACTCATTTCAAACCAATCACCTTAATGAGGCCTGTGCAGCAGGGAATCGACACATTACCTCCTGTTGTTTGTCAGGCATCAAGAACACATTTGAAGAAGTCTGTGGGCTGTGCTCCATCAGATCTGACATTTTCCTTTCATGATTTTTTTCCAGTTCCTGCTCAGTCAGCTCCAGAAGCTCCCTGGCACACCTGTTCTCGGCCGGTTTTCCTGAAATCATGGACAGCAGCGGGCAGGTGGCGGAAGTCCTGGACCCGACCGAACCTGTGCCCTTCGATCCTCAGCGGGAGGAGGCTGACCTCTTACAGGGAAACCTGCTGGTCTTTCAGTTTCTGGCATTTACCAGGTAATGTCTGCTCTGCTGTGACACATACAGAACTTAGTGAGCATACTGATTATGTGTCTTAAAAAGTATAAAACACTGCATATTCTCTGACTTGGCTCTAAATAATTGGAAGTTTTTTGAATAAGCTTTCACATTTTGTCAGATTAGAACGCCAAGAAACTTCACTGTATTTAAGAAGGATTTTAGTCCATTGACCAACACAAATGTCCCCATTTTTGTCAAATGGAGGTAAAATATGTGGATTAAAGTTTTATTTTTTCCAAAATAAAAATCTGCCCATTTGCCTTCACCTCAGTTTTAATAAATGGAGATTATTTGTAAAATATAAACGTTTTCCCTCTGATTCTCATGGATTTCTGTCCGGACTTTGACTTGGCCAATCAAACACATCTGAGTCGCTTTGCTGTAACTTTGGCTGTAATGTTTAATACCGTCCTGCTGGAAAGGGAAACTCTGCCCCAGTCTCAAGTGTTTTGAAGCTTCCAACAGATTTTTCATTCCTTCATGATTACCCTGGATCCAGCTCTATCTATTTCCCTGCCTGCTCTGACTATATTTACCGTCAGCAAGAAAAGCATCACCACAGCAAGTTTCAACATGAGAATTGTCTGCTGCAGCAGTGTTGGCTTTCTGCTAAACAAAGCATTTATTACTCAGTATTAGTCTCATCTGACCAGAACTCTATCTTCTACATGTTTACTGTTACGGCCGATACCAGTCTGTAAATTAATGGTTTCACAGTGAGTCATCTGCTACTGCTTTAGACCAAATAAATTTGGGGCAAATAATTATAGTTTATGTTTTATTGCTCATAATTTGATCTGAAATGTGGGCATCTTGGCTGGTTTTCAGATTAATATCCCACTTGTTGAGCTCAGCTGAATTTCTACATCTCTATATGTTTTCAGCTGTCCTATACCCATACTTTTGAGTAAAAACACTAAACGCTGCTCCATGAACATCTGTACATATATTTAGAATAATTTACACATAGGTGGAATTTATTTACCGATTAAATCAGATATTTCCAGTTCCAGTCTTGATGGTCAAAGTCTTGCATGCTTTAGGGCCCTCTCACACCTTGCCGATTTAGCCAGACGTCCCAGAATCTCCTAAAATGCTGGCATACGCTAAACTTTCTATGTATTTTGTCAAGTTTGGGCATGTACATGGCGTATTCATAACGAGTCCATAACTTATGTCCAACCACAGCCTAACTTACGCATAATGCACAGTAGTGTAATACTAATGAAATGATGCACGGTGATCATTTCATGGGCATCACGCAGCATCAGTTAAAGCTGCTCCTCTCAGGCGAATCTGCTCCCGGTCTGCATAAAAGATGTCTTTGATTACAGTATTAACCTCGCTGCTGTTTACCGCCCACCCCCCCAAAAAAGAATAAAGAATAAGAAAAAGAAAAAAGAAATAAAGAAGGTTTGCAACCCCAGCAGATTCCGTGTGATGTCTGTTAGGAAGTTGGTCATGGCCATTGGCGTGAACGCAGGGAGGATCCATCACACTTACCTTCTGGCTCACCTTATGATGAGGATTAAGTCTCGAGGAGTACAGAAGGTTTTCTCCTGTGTACCCCCTTTTATACCAAAACTCTGCAAATACGCCATTATGCAATAGCTATAAGTTAGAAAAACATTCAGAGGACGTCTAGAACACATCAGATACGTTGATATGCGTTGGAGATAATTTCTTGATAAGTTATGCATAAGTTACTCATATGTTTTGCATAACCTAGACACCACAACTTATGAGTAACTTACACTTAACGTAAGTCAGCGATCATATAAATTACCTGGCATATGGCATACCAGGTATGCCATATACCTGGCATAAATGGCATATTACCAGCGTATGGCATATGTCACTAAATTTCGAGCATGCTCAAAACTTCTCGACGTACTTGCCTTATATCAACGTGTGCCAGCGTACTTCAGTGTTCTTCAGCGTGCTCATAACTTGTACAAAACATACCCATAACTTATCCAACATATGCCAGCGTTTTTGCCAGTTTTTCCATACGTCAGGCATAAGATATTCATTGATAGCTGATTAGCAGTGTAATAATCTGAACCTGGTGTGTTAATGCAGAGAAACCTATAAAACATTATCTAATTTTGGACAACTTCAGATTAGATGCTTTCTAAAAAAAAAAAAAAGTAAGGGGCGTCTGAATAAAGATGGTTTAATACAAAATCACTTCATTTAAACTTTTTGGATGTTAATTAGAAGATAGATTTTTTTTTCTTTACTGCTCTTTTATAAATGTACTCCTTTGTGCTGGTCTATCACATAAAATGTCACAATCTAATTAATACACTGAGTACTTTTTGTTATTGAATATTGTGACAAAATTTTTGATCGTTAAATGTTTCTTAGGCCACTAAGTGTAAAACTGCAGACTAGATTATTGCTTATCTGTCTTAAGCGCTGCCAGAATTGTTGAATTGGGAGAAAATCTGATCAGGCACTAATTTGACACCTTCTGACATTTTTTTTTCTCTGTAGATGGAGCTGCTGACCTTTTACCGCACATTAAATGACTGATTATTCTAGTAAATATGTCCTTGACGTTTAAGGATAATCGCTGGCGACTTGTCTAGACAGCTTTCATATTTATTTCTTTAGTTTTTTTTTTCTTCTTTCTTTTACAGAAAGACTTTAGTTTACATGAGGGAGCAATAAATTCCTGCCAGTCATCCTCTGCACACATATCAATTACATAAATATTCATGGTATGTACAGTCTGCACTACAAAAGCACATATTTCCTGTCAAATCAGACTGAATAACACCTCTGTCATTGTCCCATCAGAGAGACCTATGGAGTAGTCATCCCGTCAGAAAGCTGACAGTGACAGGGGGGCTGCTGAAGGATGTCAACAAAAGCCTCCACTCTTTGTTGTCCCATCAGCAGTCCTTTGCATTTGTCTTGTTTGTCATTGACTCATCAGCGTTTCACTAACTCCTCACACTTATCTCAATACTCAACTGAAACTTCTCGTTTAGAGGCTTGATGCATGAAACTATTTGCATTGTTTATTTATGACTCTTTAGATTATGCAGTTTCTGTTTGGAGCAGTTTCAATCAGGACTACCATCTGACAGCATGTACTTATGGGTCATTGACAGATGGGGAAATCACACCAGACTCGTATATCCATGTTTATTATTTATATTTAGGGCTACATTTGATTTTCTATGTAGAGCTGCACGCTATATTGCAAATATTTTATCATCCCAATATCAGGGTGTGCATCCTTGCAGAAGACTGGAGTGCAATAATTGGTTTTTGATTTATTCCAAGTGCTACTTATAAACTTGTATTTTACATGCAGATCTGATATTTAGCCAGATGGACAGATGTTTACACCCGACACAAACAATATTTCCAAAATTGCTAAAGGTGACAGAGTCCAGGGAACATTGATTAAACAAAGATATATCTTAGGTTTTTTTTTTCTAAAATCATCCAGCCCTATTTCAGCTTCTGCACTCTGTTTGTCTCAAAATGTCATATTCAGATTTGTAAAATGTCTCACCTTCAGCTATAGATCATGTTACATCACATACATGCTACAGAATGCACTAACTATATCAAAGTATGAAAATCAGAATAGAAAAACTAAGATGCCATGTCAAATAGAAATATTAACTGCACCTTTTTTGCCCTTTCTAACTTTCTCTCAATAAGAGTATCTATGATTTTAATAAGTAAACAGTGTGTTTAGCACCTTGCAGAAATATAAAACTTTCTTCATTTTCTCAAAATTAATATCAAACTTTAAAGCAGATTTTATGTGACAGACTGAGAGAACATTGAAATATTTTGAAGAAGTTGGAAAATGATAAATGGTTTCAAAATTCTATAGGTAAAGGTCTTAAACATGTCCAGTGCTTTATTATTGAGGCCATTTAAATATCAAAACATCCTTAGATGTAGCCTAGATGCCAATGTTGACTCCAGTTCCCGGATCCAGCAATTAGGTAGCCACATTTCTCACAGGAAAACTACTATACTGAACAGAGGTGAAATAGTTTTTCTTGAAATAGGTGTATTTCATCTTGACTTGCGCAGAAAGGTAATGGTGCTTGTCAATGGAATAAGATAATTTGAATCCAAAATAAGAAAACATACAACAACCCCATTATCAAATTTTAACTGCATAATATCTGATTAACTTACTTTAAAAATACTATTTTCGTTAGCAGATAATCTTATTTACCTGCTCAAAATAAGGGGAAATACACATATTTTAACTGTTTTCACCCATTCCACTCCTCTTACCATTTTTGAAGGGTACCAAAAGCAAAGACCCTGTCAGTAGAAGCCCAGTTTGCCAAATGAGCTTCTATACATCATCTCTGCTATAAGACCTGGTGATGACAGCATCATGCTGTAGTCAGGGTTTATGGGAGGAAATATAGCAGTAAATACAGAGTAATCCTGGAAAACCGTCAAAAAACTTGAGACTGGAAAGTAGGCTCTTTTAGTTCCAAATTGCTTAGAATGAACCGGTCAAAGTCCAGAGCTGAATTCCAAGCCTGTGGGCCAGACGACAATTATTTTTTAGAAACAGATGTTCTCCATCCAATATGTATGACATTATATGAAACAGAATTAGTAGATATGTCTTCTAAAAGATGCTTACAGTAGATGGAATTGTAATGAAAAGTTTTTCTAAAGATTCCTCTCAAAGTAACTTAATACAAGTCCTTGTCATACTTTTAAAATGTCTTTTTATTAATGAAAATATGTTAAAATGCCTGTCTTCCCTTTTTCCACTGTATAACACCTTATTTACCTTCTATCGGTAATAAAAAAAGAAAATAAACACAAAAGTTTGGGGAAAATATTAATCAAACCATGGTGGATTTCTGCAAAGTCATAGAGCTCGGCTAATTGGCTGATGGTACTTCAATATCTAGATTATGTAGAAATTTAAACTTTATTCACCTAATAATGAAAAAGTATGATATAGCTTTATTCCATAGCTTTAGTTTTATATAAGGCTCACAGCAGAAATGTCCTGAAATAAAAAAATATTGATGCTTGATACAGAGAATGGTCGCGCCGTGTTATTTGGTATAAGGTTATTCTATAGTTCAGGGAAAACCTATTTTGCTTTTGTTGTGAGGGAACTCATGCTTAGATTCCATAAAGGCTCACAATTTAATCACATCCTCTCTGCAGGGCCGATGGTGAGAAAGTTTGATTCTTGTATCTTTAGAGTAAAACAGCAAATGGTTAAAGCCTATGGGTAAGGTAAAACACTTTCACATAAAAAAAAGCTGAGCACCCTGCAACCAAACACAAAGTATGGATTTCTATCTAAGATTTAATGACGCGCAAGAAGGATAGGCTAATTTATTTCTTCAGCTTCTTTTGTAAAACGGACTGGAGTGCTACTTGAACCCACACACACTGGAGTTTGCAGTTAATTGCAGATCTGTGTGGCTCTCTGTCGACGAGTGGGGCGACGGTGGGTTAGCTACCACATAATTATGACAAACAGGTATGGCAGGAATTAGTTTTCAATGTGCTGCAGCATCACTGAGACAAGTTAGCAGGCTGTGGCTGGATAGTGAGATTTCTTCCCCTCTCAGCTATTATGATTACAAATGTTTTCTATTAACAGGAAGCATTAAGGTGTTCCTGGATTAAATTCCCTTTAACCTTCAATGTCTCCCTGACTTTTTAAAGGGGCATAATGTCAGTGCTGCTCCCTCCTTGTTTCTGAAATGATTGTTTGAACTCAATAACATAATTATTTTCTTTTTATCAGTTTAGGAAGAAGCAGCTGAGCGTCTTCTGAATGTATTCCTTTTCAATAATTCACTGCTTAAAGTCACTTTATGTGAGCTCACTGGGAGTCTTTTGGAGTAAATCTTAATATTGAAGTGTTGCATTGAAAGTTTGAAACAGTGTGTGAAATTGCACTCAGAGGGAGGCATTTGTGTGAAAAGCAATACAAGCCGCTGGGATGTTCTTGTTCTTATAGACCTTTTTTTTTTTTTCTCAAATGGGATTTTTTTTTCAAAACAAAGGAAGGATTTCATTTGTCTGAAGTTGAATGAAGGTGTGTTTACTCACCAGTTTTAAACAATTTTTCCTCTTTCCCACATGTTGCGTGACAAGATTTTAAAGCCAATTTAATTAACTGTTTCTTTTATTTAAACCATTATCTAAAATGTAACTTAATCCAAGTATCTTTTATAAATACAGCTTTTTAATACAATTTAGGTCATAAAATTATGTTCTTTCTATCATAGGGTTATTTAATATATCTATTATAACCATGTTTTGAAAAGTTGAGAAAACATTTGTCTTTTTTTTTGCAGGATACCTTCAGGGGGTGTTGAAAGTGACTGGCCTCGCAACATCTATGTTACTTTTCAGTTTTACCGCTTCCCTCCTGTCACTTCCCAGCAACTGAGGCTGGTGACCAGTGATACGGTTCAGCACAGAGCTAGTGAGGCGCTTCCTTGTGTCTTAGCCACCATCAACAAAGATGGATCTGTTAATCACGGTAAGATTCATGTCTCCAAAACAATAATTTATTTTTTGCCTGATGTTTCTGCAGATGATTAATGTCATGATGTGACAGCACTTCCCATGGTGTAAATAGGGGTAAAGATTTAGGGTGCCTTGCTATAGGTTTTTATGATTTTTAAGTTAGTCACATTTTACAATGCTAGAACCATAGCTGATATGATCCATCTCTGTACAGTATGTCTGCCTCAGCAGATCTCAAACTGAGCCTGTTTCTGCTGGAGGTTTCTTCCTGTTAAAAGGGAGTTTTTCCTCTCCACTGTCGCTACAAGCATGCTTCTGTGAGAGATTGCCTTCAAGTCAATGAGCTGATGCAATCAAATGGTTTTCCTTAGATGGAAAACTTTGAATCAGTTTGACTGTATGATCTGGTTGAATTGTAAAGTGCCTTGAGATGACATGTGTTGTGAATTGGCGCTATATGAATAAACTGAATTGAATTAAACACTAATAATTCTGTAAGCACCTCCCATGCTTTGAGGTTTAGAAAAGCTCAAACACGTCTCTACAGCAGAGTGAAGTCTGATTGATCTAGCTTCATTTAGTAGCTAATGGCATGGAATAGATATTACAGCTCCAGACAGAGTGGCACACTTTACACACAAATGACCCCCATTCCTGCCAAGACCCAAAATGTACACCCATACCGGTATATCTCCATTCCCAAGACCCACTCTGGTCCCAATCTGTCCATATTTCTTTTTCTATGTATATTCTTCAGTGCATCGATAGACAAATGCTCAATAAATGTTATTTTTCTCAAATAAAAAAAATGTGAAAGTTAATTTAATGAGTAGTTGATTTTTTTTTCAGTTGAACATAACATCTAATAAATATATGTAGCTAAAAATATGCTGAATAAACAAAATTTCCAATTTTTTTTATCAGACATCTTGTGGGTTTTATTAGCATTTAATGCAAGTAATAAATAGGTACTCATTAAATTTAAGTCTTATGTAAAAGGGACATAATTTATCAAGTTACTATTTAAACTTTCCTCACAGCACCTCAGCCCTTTTTTGTGAACCATGTAAATATGTTTTAAATGTGTCTACACACTGTTTGTCCTTAATGCTATGTATGTTGACTCGGATCCAATAGGACACCTGGGTAAAGCCTCGTCCATATTGGTCTTCGTGTTCACAGAGAATGGAGCCTCTGGGGATAAAAAAAAACAGAGCTGCTTTGTTTAACTAAAACAAACAAAACTTTTGTTCTCTTTATTTGAAAAAAAAAAAAGACTTTGATCCACATTAATACACAATGATGTGATCTTCCCCTACATTATTTCATACTGTGATATTTTCAGAGTGGTGAATATAATTGAGTCAAATTGAGCTGCCTTACTTCATTGGATTCCTTGTCATGATCTTGATCTTGCCCTTTTAACTGCACCCTGTCATTCAGTTTAATTGAAATTCTTCTCTAAAGCCTCTGATATTGAGTTTTTAATTTTGTATCCTTCACACCTTATTGCAATGTTAGCTGCTATTGCTTCCAATACTTTTGGCTGAGATGAAGTTTTGATTTTTCTATTAAGCTAATAAAAGTATAAAAACCTTTTTTGTTATTTAGTGACCTTAAAAATAGATGTGATTGATTGTTTAAATCAACAGCTGTAAGTTTCTCCCAGCTAAAATTCCCTCTTCAGATAAAAAAAAAAAAATCACGTAATAGACTCTAACTTGTTATTATTATTTAATATAACAGATAGATAGAAGAAATAACAGAAATATTAGTATGAAATACTCTCTGTTTGTATTGTCTTCATGTTTAAGCATGCAAATTGTTTAACTTAAATTAACTTTTTTATTGATCTCAGACTGGAGAAATTCTCCTCTGCAGGGAACAGTGTGGAGTTAAGGGTCTTACTCAGGGACTCAGAGTGCAGGCTGTAGGGATTCAACTTGGTACTTACAAGATTTTCAGAGCACAATCACTCTGCTCTAACCCACTAGGCCAACACTCCCCATTCTTACATTCTCCCCAACTTAATTAAACTGAAATTTTAAATGAAATTTCTTTTTGTTTACATTTGTGTATACAACATACAAAATAAGTCTGTCTAAGTCTAAACTTACAATCTTGTGCTTGGGGAGGTTGTGCCATAATTTTCAGTACTGTTATTATGACTATTAAAATATTTTACTGAATGTGATTCCCTGAAGTGTTTTAATGTTTCTCTTCTTACAATTACCATAAACTGAAAGATTTGTAGTACATATGCGGTATAAAGGATAAACAAAAGTTAAACATGTTTCTTTAAAGAAAAGTTTGTGATCTATTCAGAAATTCAACATTAACTAGTGTTTTTATTAACAACAAATGCTTATTTACATTTACAATCAGTTGATTATTTAACCTTTGCATTTATTGAACACATGCTGACTTCACATTTCTGAAAAAAAAAGAATATTCAAACTTTATTTAATGATCATAACCTACAGCAATCCAGTGTTTAGGGCAAATAGATGATATAAACCCAGAGTGAAAATGTTTTTCACTCTTTACAGACTTAATTTGAAATGATTTGTGAATATCTGTGGAGTTAAGCATCCAAAGACTGGATGCAGTTTTTTTTTTCCATGTGTTTTTAGATGTCAAATATAAACATTTAGAATGAGGTGTGAGGAGAATTTGAGAAGATAGGAATCAAGCTTTACTTACTTTTTTTTGTGCATTTAAAAGCTACATTTATAAGCTTAAATCAAACATCAAACTGTACAAAAGTTGAGAAAGTGGGAGCGTGACAGATGCAATCTAACTTCAAAACGATTTCTGGATTGGTATGACTTGGTGGAAATTGTTTGAGTGTGAGAAATACAAGAATTTTAAAAGAGGCAGCAAGTTGTCATGATGTCTCTGAGTCATGCTCAGACTCACAGATTAGAGTTGAGTTATCAGCCGCAGCATTTTGCATCAGCGACCCTCTTGCCTTCAATATAGCCCCTACATTCTGGACCATAAAATGAATCCTTTAATCATGTCCTGCCATACAGCCTTTGATACTTGGGTAGTTTTGTGTTACACTTACACGGTTTGGATCTTAGAAAAACTTGAATAATAGATAAAGTTCATACAAAAAAGCAGTTTTTACATCAGGATTTCATTATTTAGAGAAAGAAAAGCCTGTCTAACCTATCTAACCCTATATAAAAAGTAAGCACTCTCCGTTGTTTTGACAATATTCAGTGTTTGAGGTGTATGGAGGTGTCTGTCAGCCTTCCAGAGCAGAATTTACCTTTCACTTTCAGCTATTTGTTGTGTGTTCTGGGTTTTCTAATGTTCCTACCACTGTAAGAAATAACTAAACTCTTTACTGATAACACAAACTCTGTTTATTGTTGCGTCAATGTTGCCTGTCTACTTTAACTGTGGATATAAAGAAACAATTTGTGCAATCCTGTCCTGAGATGTCCTTTTTGTAGACTAAATCCAAGCTGGCACATGTTGGTGATATAAAGTATCTATAAAGTCTATAAAGTACACGTGTAATGCTGCAACAGAAAATGACAGAAAAAATAAAATGTCTGGAGCTTTTTGTTTCTTCCTTTTTTCCCCTGGCAAGGAATACAGATTTAAACAAAGCAAGTTTTAGCTACAGACAATGTACCAACTGAAAAGGCATTATCTATAACCAGCTGGTCTTATTTGTGCCAAATAGGCATCTGTTTTGTGAGTATATGCTGGGTGCTTTTGGCAGCTTAATATTGCAGCCTGAGAAAAAAAATATTTTCTGTAAACAAAACATTGCATTGCATTTTTTGGAAGTCAATAATTCAATTACTTCTAATGAAGTGCAACTTAGATGTTTCTTTTTTTTAATGCACTTAGATAAGACTGCTTTGGATGGCTGGTTATTGCTTTGATTTTCCCAAATGATTAAAACTAATTATTCGTGAAAGTGGACATATTACAAACCTTCAGTTTCAAGTATAAAAATGTGAATTTCTGGTGTCTTACAGAAGTTTTTTTTTATTTTATTTTATTTTAGCTATCTATGTCAATACATTTATTTAAAATGATTTTTTGTTTGTAAAAATGAAAACCTGATTTGTGCTTAAGTATTTACTCCACCAAGTCAGCGCTTTGTAGAACTCCTTCAGCCTCAATTACAGCTATGAGTCTACTTTGGTATGCCTCTACATTCAGCATGTATTGGAGATACTTTAAAGCAAAACTGCTTCATATTCTTCAGACACATTTTCCACATTTCACATTCCACATTTTCTCACAAACCTCTGGGATATTGATTTAGCTGTTTGCTCATCCGTTTTGTTTACTATTTAATTTCTGTATCAGCCTTTTAGTTTTATTAAAGACTGAAATAGGGAATGACTTATCTAGCTGGATATGGCACACTATGTGTTGTTCAATCACTCACTAACTTTAGGACCTTTTCTCTGTTACTTACGTCTACATAAATGAGCAGTTGACCTAACCCCATCCTTGTATATTACATATATACTGAAAGTATGGCAGTACCTCTAAAAGGCCGCCACAGCTTTAATTGTTAGATCATTTTCTTTATTGAAAAAGTATTTAATATTTGTTGTTTTTATTAGAATTACCTCGGCAAGATTTCACAGTTCAATGATTGGAGGTTCATCTCAAAACCTGGGCATATTGTGAAAATGATTAATGTGTTTTGTGGCTGATTTCAGAAACGTAAGCTCATGTATTATTCATTAACTCTGTCAACTCTGTAGTTCGTTGTGTCGGCATATTATACAAAAATCAAGTAAACTGTTTTTTAAAAACATTTGATGAAAACTTCAGTCTATGAAAGGAATGAAGGAAGGAAGTCTCACTCTAAATTTTACAGTCTAAGGTGTAGAATTTGCTGAAAAGATGCTTATTCTTTAAAGGGTTAGGAAGATTATTACCAAAAAAAGAAAGGACATTTTGTTTATACAGCACATTTCAGTGGTAGGACAATTCAAAGTGCTGTAAATGAGAAAAAAAGGAAAAATGCACTGCAGTGGCATAGAAGCAACACAAATAGGTAAAGAGAACAAAAGTGACCTATTAAAATAAGTGGATATATAAAAATAAAGATGATCGACTGATCAAGAGATTAGTCCCATAATCCTGGAAATGTTCTTTAGGTGTCAGGCTCCGAACAAGGGACCCAGTTTTGAGGCAGAGAGACATTTAGGTTTCAAAAAATGTTTAAAATGGAACAGTAGAGAACAGTGTCTAAGGCAGGAACCTCTGCAGGAGGAGAATACAGGTTAGGGACCACATGTATTTGGCAGATGATGATAATGAACATGTGAGTCACTACCTGGTCGTAAAGTTCAGTCTGTGAGCCCCAGATGCTTAAGTCCTGGAGGCCAGAGAACAAGCAGGAGATCAGAACTGAGTAGACAAAGGAAGGCAAGATGATCCAGAGTGCGAAGGCAAACCCAAAGCCGTCCAGGATGGGCTCAGGAGTCAGAGCCTGAAGATAAGAGATCCAAAGGGAAATCCAGAACATTGTCAGGAATCAGTTCAAGGTTTGGTATACAGGCAGAATCCAGCAGGAGTCCGAAGACAGGTCAGCCAAACAGATCAGAATGGGAACAGGCAGGCTCAGAGGTCCAGAGGCAGAACCCATCAGGATCAGACAATTAGAACATGATCAGGTACGCTAGAGAACTCTCATCACAGGTTTGAATAATCTAGCACTAATGACTAGTTGAAGGCTGATTAAATAGAGGCTGAAGTGTGTGGATCAGATGAACTGTAATGAGAATTGGGCAAATCTAGGAAATTGGGTGAAATGAGTAATCAGGCCAATCATAAGCGGCAAGATCATGACATTAGGTGATAGAAGGCTGAATTTGTCACTATCTATATGTGGCTTTGAAGATTTAGGTATGAGTCGATCATTACACCAAGATTTAGAGCATCATTGGTGGTTTCAAGCTGTATGAACAAAAGCAGTTTGCAAACTTTTTAACGCTCTTTCTCTGATTTCTCTGGTATAAACACTATTACTTCAATTATGCTTCAAATTTAGCTGAGGAAAATTTTACCTTTGGCACAGTGATCAGTGATTTCATCTATACATTTACAGGACAGTGCTGGGTTTGGTCTCATCGTAATGTACAGCTGTGTGCCGTCTGCATAGTAGTGAAAACTTAGGTTGTTGTTAACTAAGATCTAAATTATGGGAAGCATGTAGATATTGAATAAAAGAGGTCCTGAGATGGACCCTTGAGGATGCCACATGTGATTTTTGTTGTCTGTGATGTAAAGTTACCTATACCCTGCCCTTTAAGTTTAGGGGGGAAAAAACAGACACACACACATACACATATATACACACACATATATATTTGGATATATTTGGAAACGGTCATGTATTTCCCAAAAAAAATTAAATTTCAAAGCATATCAATAAGAAGATTTAAATTTTTTGAAACTGGTGAATGCTTTTACTAGCCACTATATACTGTAATTCAGTTAGTCTTGGCCCAAGCTTTTTGATTGGGCTTACATCAGTGTTAAGAACTCAAAGTACACACTCTGGGTCCACACTTTTTTTCTTTGCCTCGAGCTTTCGCCTTCTTGTTAGGCTTGTTGATCCCCAGCATGATTTCCAACTCAGGCGAACGTGCTGTGCAAACACCAAACAGGCCATCCAGGTTAGGGGGGACGTCTTCTGGGTGCCGCTCCTTGTCGGCACACTTTGCTGCAAGCACACAGCTCGTTACAACCCCTCGGGCCAGATCTGTCAGCTCCTCCTGATTTCTGAGCATAAACACACAGCACATTTTGCCTCACTCTCACTCTCTCTCTCTGCGATCTTATTACTACTCGTTTACAGCACACAAACCAAGAGCATGATGGGAGAACTGTTACTCCAAGTGTAGAGAGGTGGCAGGTGGTTTGGTGAGAGAAAGTGGGGATTGGAGAAGTAAGAAAAGGATCTAGGCTCAGTTTATGGAGAAACATTTGTGTTAAGCTAAAGAGTATGTTATCAGATTAGAATAATGGAATGGTTTTGTTATAGTGCATTAGTAATTTATAAGATTACCATTCCCCTAAAGGTTTGTTCAGACATCCTTTCTTTTACAATTGGTTTCAGTGTGCCAAACACTAAAGGATGTCCTTTTGTCCCTCTGCCTGATGGGTTGTTATTGTTACTACCCTCTGTAGGACCAAACATTTCAAGGCTTACAGCTGAATTGAAACCGACTACTTGTGTGATCTAACAAGGCTAGATCGGACTGTAGGAGGCCCTAACAGAGGGTTTTCTTAGAGCTTTGAAGAAAGAAGTAACTTGTTTAGTCCTTCATGCCTTCCACCTTAAATACTCAGTGTTCTGTTACTAAACAAAAAAAAAAAAATGAAATTCATGTATCTAGAAAGTAATAAAAGAGTAAATTAAATCAAAAAGATTTTTTTTTACCGGATAGTTTTGCATGTTCCACTTGAAGTGTTACTTTTAACTGTTGCCTATTGTGCTAACCTACTGTATGTGCTGTGTGATACAACGCTCAACCATGACATTTCTTGCATTATGTCATATTATCTTCACCTGATAGTAGAGGTGCACCAATCTCAGATCTGATCTGAGGTTGATTTTCAATCTTTAGTTCTTGACAATTTCATTTGCAGTACATTTCATTTTAAGTACAAGAAGATCTAAGAACAGAAGTGAAGTAAGAATTGCGTGAGTGGTCTTTCATTTTTTATATTAGGAGTAGCTTCACTAGTCAGTGTGTTTGAGGGAGAGCAATTTCTGCAAAGAAGATTTTTACTCATAAAAAAAAAAAAATATGTGTTTCTTAGAAGAAAACATCCATATTGACAGTCGTTCTTATCAAAGCAACCTGCTAGTGCTCATATATGATGCATTCACTTTGTCCCATTCCATCCACCAAATTGTTTTTCTTTATATCTCTAGTCATAATCTTTGGGCCTCTACAGTGAAATACAGAAGAAGGAATCTTTTATTAAATACATAGAAAACATGAGATGTTGAACAGGACTAGATTGCCACATTTTAAAGTTTTCATTATTAGGTCAGTGGAAATCTACTGCTCTGAGATAACCAATCCTGCTAAAAAATATATCCAACAAATAAAACCTCTTTGCAGCTTTTACCTGAATAATGGTGTTCAAGGAGTTGCAGGATGTCTAAGTGTGATCGAAAGAACAGAAAATGAAACAGAAAATAGAGTTTTGAGTTTTCTCTAACCAAACAGGATTCTCACCAAAGCCCCTCATTATATCACTTCTATTGAGCCGGCAGCTCTGCTGTATTTTTATCCCCAGGGAGTAAAGGATGTGTCGAGGCTTTGATACACGACTGGAGGGAGGCTGTGGGCAAGAATTTTGATGTCCAGTTAGTTCACAGGCCCACACTCAGACCTTTGATACAGTCTAGCCTGACATTGACACAAAGGTTGGTTTTGAGTTTGCAGTGCAATGCATGCTGTTCAATCTCAGTCACTTATATGGGTCATTTGTTACATGTTTTATTTTAGCTTTTGTCAGCTAATCAGACATCTTAAGGTATTTTATATATTCTCAGGCAGAATCTAGGCCTTTACTCTTAAGAGATTTGGTCACAGAAGCCGAGAGAACAACCAGTTCTCAGTCTGTACGACTTTGTGAGACAGTGAGAAACATTTCACCTCTGAGTGATGAAGCCTATCCACAAGTCTTTGAAAAGTTCAGTGGCAGATTTCTTTGGTAAAGCTGTGTCTTTGTCAGCAGGTTTGTAAAATCGCCCTTGAGTTTTTAATAAAATTGTAAGGTTCTTTTATCACCCTGAATTGTCATAACCTTTGGAGCGACTGACTTTGTGAAATGGCCCCATGCTCTTATGGCTCTTGTCTCAGTAGACAGTGCCAGCTCAGAGCTAACATCACCATTTTAGAAAGAAAACAATAGTAAAAATATTTATGGTCGTGTCTTAAATGTTTATGATTCTAAGGCAGACTACGATGCTTAGTTTATATACGTTGTATCTTTGATTCAAAGTAAATCCCTTTAGGAATACAGATACAATATAGACGCTTATAAGGTAACAGAGGAAATTAAGGCTGAAACAATTAATTGGATCAATTGTAACTAATGGATTATTGAAAGAAAATCGTCAACTAATTTAGTGATCAATTAATCATTAACTGGAGTATAGAGACTCTAAAACATGCCTTTAGCTGAAAAAGTAACTAAATTAGATCAGTTATTACACTAAGTTTGTTGAAAAATAAATATTTTGCATTAAAGTTGAAAAAATATTTTTTGTTAGTCAATTTGCTCAATCCAGAACTCCTTAAGGGGAAAATTTTCAGTTTCAGCTGGTTTAATTTTGTTAAAAGTCTTCTTAAAGGTATCTTTGACTATCCGATTATTAACTGATTAATAAAATAAAAAAATCAACAGTTTAATTGATTTGCAGAATAAATGTTGCCTTTCTTTTTCTGTTACTAAGATGTGTTACGGACGCTGGCAAACAAAACAAAACAAAAAAAAAAAATAGTAAAACTTTACCCATTTGGCAAATATGTTACTTTCATGTGCCTAAGCTATTATTGAGCATACCTCAGCGATCAGAGGTCTGAGGCCATTTGAAGTGTGTTGGAATTATCACCTACAGTAGAAATACAGTAACATATACTTTGTCTTAAGTGTTTTGTTCTATTTTGTCTTTAAACCTCTATATATGTTAACCTTTACACATTAACAGATCCATTGGTTTATAATATGGGTTTGAACGCAGATGCCTTCTGAAATATCTTCTCTTGTGTGTCAAGGTTCTCCAGGTCTACAGTTACAGTTCAGAGTTGATGACGGTTTTTTGAGACCAGGAGAGAAGCAGTGGTTTCTCCGCCATCTGGCCCTCCACACCATGCACATTGACGTCTGGGACAGTGACTCGTTGCTCCTCATCGGTTCTACGGCCATCGAGCTCAAGGTGAATGGCAGAGTTATTTATCAGACTGACATCGTCTTTAGAGACACTTTGGTCTTCTGTAACCTACAGTACAATAGCGGGTTTTAGTAAACCTTTGAACTGCTGATACCAAATTCAGCTTTTTTTCTTTGAGATAAAATGTTTTCTTTTAAAATACATTAAAAGAGGAATGAAAATATTTTTATTAGAGTTCTGAGGAAAAATTATGTAAATACAAAGACAAGATTTTACATTTTTTTAAACAGAAAAAAATAGGTGAATTTATGTGTTTCCTAAACTCTGTAGATTATAACTGTACCTTGTGGGCTGCCCTAATTTTAAAATTCCAATGTTTTCCTAACCTGTAAGGCCAAAACCTTAGTAGTTAAAAAAATAACTTCTTTCTACTCCCTTCATCCCTCCTGCTACATGCTTTGTTACCATCTCTCACTTTCTGCACTGCAGAGATATTTTAGAAAAAAACATTTCAATTTCAAAGGTCCTTCATCATGCTTTTTTAAGTGTTTAAGGGCTTCTTCAAGTTTGAGTCTCACATCACCCCTCCCTGACCACAGAAAGTAGGCATTAGTTTTCAGAGCTGGAACAGCACGGTCAAGACATGCTTAACCCGCTCATCTTCACAGGATAGGGAGGGGTTGTTGCTTAGAAAGCAGAATTTGTGTAGATTACAGCTGTATGATTGTATGAACTGGATTATGACACAGTTTAAACCTCAAAATACTTTGATATTGCATGATATAGGCCCTTAAAATGGCTTCCTCAGATTTTGGTTTACTGAACCTCTAATTGTCAAATTGACAGTTTTCATATAATTAAAATCTACATGTTATGTTTAAAGGCGGTCAAAAAAAAAAAAGCCTACTTTCTTTGCTGGATCGTAAGCCTTAGATAAACATCTTACTGCATAGTGCTGCTCAATTTCCTGTAATGAACTATATCAACACATCATTGGCTTTACAACCCAAAAAGGAATAAGAAACATTAATATTTCAAACTCTTCTCTAACTTTGCATTTTATTGATCAGATCTCGTGTGAACCTCAGTCAGTTGTTGAGTTATGTGATTTAAACTGAAATATGCAAAACTCTTCATGACAGTTGAAGTGGGTGGAGCTGTTTGAACTCTGCTTCATCTGTGTTGCTCCTTCCTTCCTTACTTTGTTCCCTCCTTCCTTGATTCCTTTGTTCCTTCCTTCCTTCCTTTGTTCCCTCCTTCCTTGATTCACTTGTTCCTTCCTTGGTTCCTTTGTTCCTTCTTCCTTGGTTCCTTTGTTTGTTCCTTCGCTTGTTCATTCGTTCGTTCGTTCCTTCGCTTGTTCATTCGGTCGTTCGTTCCTTCGTTCCTTCGTTCGTTCGTTC